TTCATCATACGTTTTGAAGGCCTTGAAGATGCTGCCCTTGACACCAATAACCATAGGAGCACACCGATGTCAAGAGTTGTACAATCCAGGCCTCTTACCACGAAACACTACATAAACTTTCGGAGCATTATTCCTCTTCCTGTGGTCCATTCCTTAATCTAACCCTAAGAAAGATAAGAGATGAAGAAGGAGAAAACAAAGATAGAAAAAAGGGGGCTGGAAAAGCTTTTTAGGTTCGGCCAAATATATTAAGTGTTTAGGGTTAGAAAGTGACCACATTAGTAGTTTAATTTTTATACGTATCTTTTCTAATTTTTAAACGTATTTCCTCCAATATATTATCTGTATATTTTAGTTGTATTTCGATTAATTGGTATAGTATATGTAAATTTTAGTGTATTTCGTTTAATTAGTATAGTATATGTATATGTGCTTTATAGAAATTGATGAAGCATGCATCTTGGGAAGGTAAGACAATTAAATTAGTGAGAGAGAATTGTTGAAAAAAATTAATTTAAAACGAAAAATCTGCCAAAGGGTATACATGGAAAACGAAAATGCGCAAATATTTATTATGCCATCAAAAACCGTGCGAAGTTACAATTATACCCCCATTTGGGACGTTTGGGCCATTCTTGGTTTGGCCAAATATATTTTCCGATATTTTATTCCCTCTATTTAATTCTTGAGATACAAATTATGGGATTCTGGACCAAAACAAGTGGGCGTATATGTATCTACTCATTTATATCTTAAATTTGCATCGTTCATTGTGCCTGTTCTGATGTTGCTTAATTATTCCACTGCTTTTTTTTTATGCCAATTGGACTTGAGCTGGTTCTTGGCTACTTGTACTATATATATCTTCTTTTTCTAATACTATCCAGACTTGTGTCATCTCAAGTTGCATGCAACACGATTAATTCTGCACGTCAAAATATAGTCAGTTTTGGTTATTAATTTCATTCTGCTACTTTTGATTACTGGTTAGCATTTGGAAATTAGTATGTGTATCTTTTTTGGAAACAAGGAAGAAAAGAAATATAAGTAAATAAATACGATTGAAAGGCTTCACAAGTTGCTCCACTTGCATGCTTTATTTTAATTTAGTTTCCAAAAATAGAACTTTCTTTGTACGTCATTTGCTTGACTTTTTGCTGCTGAGTCCTAAATTTGTTTGAACACAAGAGTTTAACAAGGGAAATAAATTTATTTTTAATACACACCGAACAAGCATATTATAAAAAGTTGATTCGTAATGCATATACTTTTTATCTTCATTCTATTGAAGATTGCATATACATTGTGCCTAAACTTGCGTTGTATAATTTTTTTTTAGCTTACAACTGTACCCTCGGACTTTTATGGGATTTTCTATTTTATTTAAATGGAAGATCAAAGTTTCAAGGGCTTTTTCTTTTTCTTTTTCCACCACCTGGTTATTAGTGTTAAAAAGAAATTATAAAAGTAAATTTAATCCAGATGGCTGCCGTAAGCTGCAGCATCAAAATAAGACAACGTCAAAGGATGATATCAAGTACCCACAAACAGAAGAAGAAGCATTGCAATTGCAATTTGTTTATTCTGGATAGTTGTGGATCCAGCATATCAAAGCATTGCAATTTACAGTTCTATAATAACAAATAAATAAATAAATAAAAACTAATATAAAAAATAGCCCAAATAACGTTTTGTAACACATCTATTTCGCTAAAACACAAAGATAGTTCAAATTCGAAACTTCAGCAATATTGCAATATTTTAATTCTTTTAAGTTGAAATTTAGAGAATCAAGCACCTTAACTAGATTTAAAAATCACTATTAAATATTAGTTTGTTAGATTTGGTCAAATGATTAAACTAAAAATGCAATGGACATCTATTGAAGTTTGCTTAAACTTGCAATAAAAAATTTGAATTTATTTTGAGTGGGTGTTGATGGAATAGATTGGGTCTATCTTAAGGAGTGTGAATCTCAATTTTGGGATGATTTGGTGGAGATTTTAGGCGGTTTGAACTAAAATTTCAGCCAAATTCGAAGTACACAAGATGAACATGGAAGAAGATCATATGTGTATCACACTATATGTCATTTATGTATCACATGTGTGTCATATGTGTATCACATGTATATCCATGTATACCTGTGTGTGAGATACATGCGTGCTACATGTTTGATACATGTGTCGCAGAAGAATTTTTTAAACTTAATTTTAACTATGAATTTTGATATAAAACCACTCTAATTCACCTCCAATCTTGCTCAAATTTTGTATATTGCCTCATCTGTATGTGTTTCAACGAATTTCAACCATACCCATGAATAATAATTCTTTTTTGTGTATTTTTTTTAATATTATTCATCTTTGGGAATGAATTGACGACAAATTAGTCTAACTCACCTTCAAACTTCGTCAAATTTTATATATTGTCTCATCTATGTATTTTCAAAAATCATAATAATATCCATTAAAAAAGAATTGCCTATATATTTTGAATGCTATATATCATTCGTAATTTTTTTGAGCTATTTTTTGTAGCATGATAGAAATAGCTAGTTATTGATAAATAATGTCCTTTTTTTTTGTATATGATTCCAGAAAAAAGAAACAACACCAAATGGATGAGAAGTTTTATTGTGTGCCTCACACAACTGACATTAGATGTGTGAGACTTTTTTTTGTCTCACAAATTTATGAACCCCAATCTTACACTTCTGGATCCACAAAAATTTGGGTTTACAAAACTTTGAGAAAAAAAAAAGATGACTCATATAACTAGTGTCAGTTGTATGAGACGCAAAATAAAATTTTTCCCAAATGGAGACGAAGAAAGTACTTTTAACCTATTACAAGTGTACAACTAATTAGATGATGTATTCATTCAAATTGCAATGAAGCAAACCAAATAACGGGGCATTTGCATCTATACCCGCTTTTTGGGTCACGTTTTAACTTGTGCCCGCTTTGCAAAAAAAATTGCAAGCGTACCCACTTTTTCGCGTAACTTCAGCATACGGGGTTGAAGTAGCAAAGGCAATCACGCAAAACTTCAGCATTCTAGTAGACGGACATGAAGTAGCAAGTGTACTGAACCAAGTGTGCTGAAGTTTTAGTTTGTAATTGATGAACTTAAGCATAATAGCTGAAGTGTTGTTCTCGATTTGCTGAAGTTTTTGTTTGTAATTGCTGAACTTAAGCATAGTAGCTGAAGTTTTGTTCTCTATTTGCTGAAGTTTTTGTTTGTAATTGCTGAACTTAAGCATAGTATCTGAAGTTTTGTTCTCTACTTGCTAAAGCTTTTGTTTGTAATTGCACTAAATAAGCTGAAGTTTTTTTGTTCTGGATTCATTAGTTTTGTCATTAAGCTTTTTCAAAAACTTCAGCAGAAGATGCTGAAGTTATTTAGTTCATTTATAAAAACTACAGCATTAAATAAGCTGAAGTTTTTTTGTCCTGGATAAGCTTTTTCAAAAACTTCAGCAGAAGATGCTGAAGTTATTTAGTTCATTTGTAAAAACTTCAGCATTAAATAAACTAAAGTTTTTTTTGTCCTGGATTCATTAGTTTTGTTATAATCAGACTACTATAAAATAATCAGATTGTCAATAGTATCTAAATCATAAAAATTTGGAAACAAATAAACGTGAATAGAACAAAATTATCATGAAAAAAATCATTAAGTGTGACCTTAAACTTCCCGTACGTGGAAATATTCACAAATTATTGTCTACTAACTTACGTAATTATTTATAATTTGTTTTTAAATAATCTGATAAACATACTTATGGCAATTATCCCATGAACTGAAATTTCATAGCAGCACCAACAGCAGCAGAAGGAAGAAGAAGAAGAAGAAGAAGAAAACGAAGGAGGAGAAGGAGGAGGAGAAAGGGGGGCTGAAGTTGTTTAAAAAGTGGGTACAAGTTAAAACTTTTAAAAAAATAGGTATAGGTTAAATGAGGGCGACCAAATAGGACGCCCGTGCAATTTTTACCCAAATAACAACAATACATTACCTTAAACCAACATGATGGGGCCCATCTTTTGTCATTCTCTATTTGGGAATATTCTCAAAGGTACTTCCCTCCCAAACTTTTCCAACTTTCCTATGTGCGTAATAAAGTAGTTTTTCTGTTTTAATATTTAATATTTAATATTTAATATTTCCTCTTTTCCAACCAGAAGTCTGATTTCATCCTTTAAAGGACACAAACTCCCAAATCACAAGGTACTGCTAATCTATATCCAATGCATGCATAAAGGACAAAATAAATTGAATCTTTACCATAAAAAGATGTTTGACTTTGTCCTATCCACAACAATTCAAGAGAGGAAAAAAAACAACATTAAAACTGCATGACCTGCGCATAAACCAAAATTTACGAGGATATACTACTCTCCGTTTTAATTTAAATGGCACATTTTCCTTATTAATTCGTTCCTAAAGAGATGACACATTTTTGTATTTGAAACAATTTAACTTTATACTTTTTATTTTAATACTTTACCATTAATGAGAAGTTTTTATAAACATATAAATATTATAGCTCCAAAAAGCTTTTGCCCCGTAAATTTTTAAGAAAAGTTATTTCAAAACTCTTTTTTTTCCTTAAACATTGTGACAAATCAAACTAAATTGAAACGGAGGGAGTAGCATTAGGGGCTTCCATTGAAACATTACAAAACAGTGGCGATAAATCTTGACTGCTCTAATTTTTGACCGTTCGGTTACAATGATGTTATTGTTAAAGAATATTGATATGCCTCTTGGTGTTGTACAAAGCACAACGTAACACTTACACTGAATAAATGAGAAAAGTTTATTCACACCCGATATTTACACCAATTAAACAAATACATATTCGTGCACAAGTTTTTTCCATGCATAAATCGCTATAACATAATTATATACTTCGGGATTTCCTTTAATCTGCCTCAAGCAAGATTACATCAAGGTTTATATCATAAATAAGTAGCTATAGTATGTCATATTGTGAATAAACACATCAACGTTTTTATCATACCATCAAAAGCTGTACCTTGTAAAAGAGGCACTTGTACGATATACACATCATACACATTAAAAAGAAAATAAGGAAAAGAAAATGTACCTTTATCAAAATGTCAAACCACATTGAACCCTTTATGTTGTCAATAGTCAACGAGATTGCCTATTGGTAGAAAACCACAATCGTATACTCAAAATTTACATTTGGAACTCACATCTCCTATAGTATCTTTTCATTCTCTTTAGTGTACAAAATTTTCCCTCAAGCACAAACTACTGGTTAGAAAAAAGAAAAAAAAAAGAATGTGAATGGAAAAAGGTTGTGTTTGTATGAGCTGATTAAGGTCAGTCTATGAAAGTGAAAATATTCACCAAGGATGGAAATCAAGAAAGCTGGAGAGCAATCTGCTGAAGAAGTACCTTCTTTTGAGCAGCGGTTATGAGACCTTTACATTCAGCATCCACCAAAACCTCTGTCATAATTGCAGCCGCATGACCTCTAGGCCCGTTGGAACCTGATGCCTTCTTCAGCATGAACATCTGGAAACAAACAGTAAGGAGATTAAGAGGCCAGATTACAACAACAACCCCAGTGGAATCGTACAAGTGCGGTAAAGAAGCCAGATTGAAAATAAGAATTAATCCTTCTAAAATTTGATCCAGAAATTTCCCTTATGAATTTGAATGAGAAAGACAATTAACTCCTTTTGAAGTTCAAGCGAGTTACAGATACATTTGTGCTGAAACTTGAAAGTTGCATAAAACTTTGGATGGAAGCATATAACTGGAAATTATTTCCGTGAAACATTATGTAGCAGAGAATAGATTACAACTAGAAGAAAAAGTCGGAGGGACATAAATTGACATTTTAAATGAAATACTGAAAATTATTATTTTTGTGTTCGACACTTCAAGGAAGTTATATCCACATGAAGAGGAACCGAGAGTGCAATATTCCCTGAACTCAAAATGCAAGTAGAGAGTAGAAATATTAGACACCGCAAGCCTCTTCTGTAAAGGTAATACAATTCGTTGGATTGTAATTCATGAAAATTGATAGATCTTCAAGCACCATTTACATGCAGCAGTAACTATTTCAATCAAAAGAAATATAATCACCCAAAAAAATAGTTTGCGTGCATCACAACAGAATACCAAGCAAGACTAAGAGTGAGCTGGGCCGCCTTAGAATGTCAGAACAATTTAGGGTGAAATAACTACTAAATGAATAAGCTTAGATTTACTCATATGCATCAAAATGCGGAAAGAAAAGGGCATACAACCCATTTTGTGGTGTCCAATTTATGTTGAGTTCACCCTTGCGCAGCATTTAAGTGCAAAACCAGAAGAAAATAGATACTAATACCATGGGATTCTCTTAAAGCAAATAAAGATGGGTATTTTGAAGTTATCAACAACCTAACTCTTTGTAAAGTCAAACGCCATAAGCAAATAAAAGTTTTGCCATTCTTAAATCTACTGTTTCAGAAATATCCATTTGATCAATAGTCAGAATTCAGGCCAGACACATACAAGAGGTCAAATCATAAAAATATCAGAACCTACTTCATCAATTTGTATATAACGTTCTATCATTTCATTTCAGGATTTATGTGAATTCCAAGGAAAATTAGATACCTGTTCATGATGTGTTATTTCTAGACAACCCGGTTGCTGTATGAAAGGCTCCCCATCAATTTGAACGGGGAAAGGACTAGAAGAATGTATCTTTACAGTTCCCCCTTGGGCTAGCCTCCTCGCTTGAGAAAGCCCTACCTACAAGTCAAAGATTGTAAGGAAAGCAAAATAGCAGAAGAAGACGGAAAGCAGGAAAAGGGGGGGGGGGGGGGGGATGAAAGATGCAGACTTTGGTTAATCTCAGTAAGTAGTTGAAGGAAAATGTAAGTAGTTGAAGGAAAATGCCGTCAGTATACATACTTAAATTTGCATATTCAAGAGAGAAGTTTCAAGAGTATGTGCCAGGGAAGCAAGCACCAGGCAGCAGCTTCTTTATACAAAGTACGAAAGCTAGTCCTCAAGTGCTTAAATGTGCAGCGTATAATCATTCATTTAAATGTGTGATTAAGTTCCATAGACAATCTTTATACGGCGAAATGAGGGATCGAGAGAGAGAGAGCAATAGGTTACACAGACTTGGTGGGTGTTTAATGTCAAAAGGTTGATATGTAAAGATCCAGATAACACGTTACACACAGGTACATAACAAGGTGAAAAAGACACGTTTACATGCAAGTACTATTTGGTTATCTACGTCCGTTTATGTAAACCATGAACCACAAATTTTATCATTGAATGTTGCTGCTTTGAAGGTCTAAGTTTTTCAGAAAGGATGCAGCTTTTCCATGGCATTAATTAAGAAATCCAAAATGTTCTAATAAATCCACATCAGCATCCAAGAGCTGTACAACAAGAGAAGCAGGGAAGCAGAAGGCAAGAGTAAAACAGCAGGGCAAGGAATCACGTTTTCTTGCCCTTTTTCTCTTCTTTTTTCTGTCTTCTCCAAAGACAAAATAAGCAATCTACTTTAATTGGGTGACAGCCTGATAGGAAATTCCATACTCGTGTCTCCTAATCGTGTCAGGTTGACATGGCACATGGGTGGTTCAGGCAAAGTAACTCCATGTGTGTCTGGTGTGTGTGTGTGTGTGTGAGAGAGAGAGAGAGAGAGAGAGAGAGAGAGAATCTTTTGTAGAAATTTTTGGTGGGCGGAATAAGTTTGCTTAAATTTTGCTTCTTCAATTGTTTAACAAGATATTTCTGGAATTTGTTAACTCATTCCAAATGGTCAAAACCAAGTCGCAAAGAAGAATTTTTACACTCTTCGTAGTCTTAGTGAGCACAATCAATTGCGAGCAGAAAGACAAATGTTAAATCTCCAAGCCAAAGATCACATAATGCTATATAATGGAGGACAAACACTGACAAGAAAACATGTATTTAAGAAGGAAAGAAGAATAAGAGGGGAGAATTCGCTTTGAAGAAACTATTCCCTAGATACGCATGTCGTGTTATTTCACAATTGAATCAATTTAAAAATTTAAAAAGGTCCACTGACAAAAAATCCAATCTACAAAAAAAATCTTCTAACACATATGCTAAAATTCTTAGATGGGTCAAAAACAAAAGTGAGAATTTGATGAATAGATAGAAAAGGAGAAGCTTTCCACACCTGTAGCTTGCCAAGGTGCCATGCTCCAGAAACACTAACAACTTCAAGTACTTTGTCATGCATTGACTGGTCGTTGAAGTCATCGTCATGCTCGAAATCATTTTGCCACAGATCAACTCCACCCATATAGCTACCAATATTCAGCACAATCAAGCCCTCAGTATCCTGATCGAATTATAAATAAGGGGATTGATTAGGAATTACAAATGGGAAAGCAAGAAAAAGTTTGGCTTCCAGATTTTGCAATGTGTATACCTTGGGGATCTCTACGTCCTTCCCATCAACTTCAAGCCATACTTGCCATGGCAAATCTGCACAAGTTCTGCCCATTATATCTCTAGCACCTTCTTTTGCATATCGCAATTTATTTACGAACTGTAGGAGAAACTTGATTAGACACACACACACACACACAACACAAGCAGTTAATTGTGAGATGAATTTAATTAATATAGAGAGAAACTAAAGCATAGTGATCTATTGACAACGTGCAATCAGAATCAATTATCTTCAACAACGTCCGTTAAAGATTTGCCATTGTTTTTCTACATATTATCTCCCATTGAAATATATGGGCAACTGGAAAAATGATTCCCAAGGGCATATAAATATATAGGCTCACACATTTAGTTATAAAACAACTGTAGCTTAGAGATCACTGAGGCACAAAATGGCATGTTCATACCTGACTATTAAACTTCTCAGGGTTTTCTTCCCTGTTCATATGAAATTCATATGCAACCTTTGCATCACATCCTATACCTGTAGCAGAAAAGCTTCCAGTAATTAAATAGATCCAAAGGTACCAGTTAAAGGACATGCATGTGGTGTCTAGAGAGCGCATTGCTGATATATATGCTAAAAGGCAGGTCCAAGCATCATATCTAAAAGTAGCACAAATAGAAGGATCTTTTCATTGTATTCTGGGCTAGCATCAAAAGCCCCCTTTCTCCCATCCTATGGTAGGCAAACGTCATCCAAACCCCAAATCAAATAAGAAAACAAGTCATAATGTGGAAACAGATTGAAGTTTACCCAAGTAATTCAGCATGAACTTTGATTGCACCTTAGGGGTGTCATGAGCAGATTTTTCTTCAGTTATGTTGACTTTCCAACGATCAAGCATTGTAACGGCAGCATGGTTCAAATCGTGCAGAAAGGGTCTTAATCCACCTTGCCCTTCAACCATTGCAAATCCACCACCCCATTGCAGGACTCTAGACAAATCATTTCCAGTTCCCAAAGGAAGAACTGCTACTGGTGGAGGTGACTCAAAGTTATGCCGCTCAATAGCATCAAGGACCCAAGCAACAGTCCCATCACCACCACAGACCAAGACCCGAAAGTACTGCAAGTTACTAAATAATTCTAAACCAGCTTCAGGCCCTTGGGACTGACCAAGTTCAAATACCTGCATTTATGAAAATCAAATTCTTATGCAATCTGAACGTTTGAACACAGAGACAACACTTGCCATGACTGATAAATTACAAGACAAAAGGAGGATAACTGTTTTTTTTCTTATAAGGCCAAAAGGAGGACAACTATTGAAAATGCCTTCAATAATTTTCTATAGACTTCATAATAAAACAAACAACTCCAGAACTTAGAATATTCCAAGTCACAAAATGAACTCTAAATAAGGAGGAAAATGAGGATGGAGATAGATGGTCAACCATCACTTGGATCACATTCTAAATGAAGAAGACAGGTCAGAGAGAACGAGCATTAGTGACTTGGAAATGACGTTCATCCTGATCAAAGCAAAAGGTAGGGCCAAGCTCTAGCCCAAATAGGCATAACCATAAGCTGTCCACTGCACCTACTAAATAACAATTCCACTAAACAAAATGGGTAAGTTACAAACTATGACAAAAGCCTTTTGCCCCAACTTTAACTGTCATTCTTTCTGTTTTGGGTAGTCCAAAGTTTGTAACCACATTCCTAAAAAAGGGAAACTTGCTCCCTTCACTCTTCATATTTTCTCAAAATTTTATATTAACGTAGTAGTAAAACAAGCAAATATTTCAAAAAGTTAAGCTTAACTTCAGAGTTGCAATCACTTTCATTTACATAATGCAAAACATCAACTGTTGCCTCCACAGTTGTGCCCAAAGAAAATAGCATACCTAAATTGGACCATAAGAGTTATCTATTAGATGATTTATTTTGAGCTAGGTAACATGTTTAGGACATGAACTGTCATTTAGATAAAGACAAATGATACCAGAGGCCGTTAACTATCTAAAAAGTCTAAATTAGGTCTTTATATAATATCTAATCATAAATAACCCTTAAAGCTCCCATTTAGCTTCACACAACCATTGGTATCGTCTACGCAAAGTATCAAATTTGTTAACATATTGGTATTTTTCTCTTGCTATCCAAAGTGGTGCCAGTTTCTCTCCAATCTCTCTTTATTCGCAAATAAGAATAAGGGAAGAAAAGAGAGGGCTCTTATTAGTTACACATAGAACAACAAAACGAGCAACTTCCAGTTTTTTCCCCTTTCCTTGAAGTTGTTGGAGATGATTATAGTGTTAGATTTCAGAAAAAGTCTCTATTTCTTCTTTTCCTGTTCTTATTGCAAAAATATTGCAAATAGAGGGAGCAATAGGATGAATTGACACCAACTTTCATAGCAAGAAAAAGGAAATGCTTTGAATTAAACACTTTGATAAAGGTAGATGATATATGTGGTTCTTTAAATAGTTTTTAAGAGTTTGGCTCTGACCAAAAGAGTTTAGATAGTTTAGCTGTTTAGCACATATGCTATCATTTGCTCACTAGCTAATTATTCTAGTTATTTCCTTTTAAACTTAAGCTGTGATATGCAGGAGTACTTGCAAATCTTAGCCTTAAAATTGAAATTCCACCTGAACAGGATTCAATAGCATGTTTAATCTCCTTCTAAGAGCAGGACCATTTTGAGCTCCGCTTTTAGTGTTAATGAAAACTAGAAGAGGTCTAGCATCCTGAGGCAAATCCACTAGCGCATACTTTTTAGATCTACCCAAGATTCTACTTTCCTGCTTGTTCCAGGCCAACCCATTCTGGCTACCTTTTCTGCCACCCAGCTTGTTACATTTTATAGAGTAGCCATTATTCTTCTCATAGGGGGAAAGCTTCAAAGCCACCAGGGATCTAATCACATATTCCAAAGCTCTCTTTGCAGCACAACTGCCTTGCACTTTACCATTTATGAGGTCATTTCCATGTTTGTGCCGATGACGCTTTCGTCTGATATGCCCATTGGTATTCATTTTTTCTGCCAGAGAACTTAATATTGCACCATCTTTAGTCTCAGCTTCTACATCTTTAACATAGAGTGGAGAAAGAATAAGCCTTCTGAGAGGACCCAGATCGCAAATATCACCAGATTCTTCAGACATCTTGGCATGGCATTTGACATGTATCAATCGTTGACACCATAAACAATACCAAGTTGGAGATGCATCAAGGAAAGGAACACCACAAGGTTCATCACAGTAGAAACAAAAGGCAGACATCTCAGGATTCTCATCCAAGTCGGTCCATCTTTCAGACCAATGGTGCCGGACATGGCTTAAACCAGCCTGTGCGACACACTTGCAATCCTTTGCGGCAAACTGAGAACAACGAAAATGGGCTGCGACACCACAAATAGCGCAACGATGTACTGGAGAACTTGATGCAGCTTTTGTACCTAAGGTATGTGGAGAAACGAGTGATGTGAGGCACACGCTGCATGTGGATGGCTGTACACCATAAGCAAAATCTTCAATCCATGTATGATGGGATAAGGGAACCTTCAGCTTCTCCCACACTTGCTTCTTTGCTACAGCAGCAGCTTTAACCCAATTGAGAGATGTCTTCCGTTGCCATTTAAGGAAAACATATATGACTGCCAAGAGTCCAAGAGATCCAGTAACCAACCATGCAAAGATATAGGAACCAAAATAATACGAACTGTTCAGAAACCTCAATAATGAAACACTGATATCAACCATTGTTAAGCCAATGTCTCATTATTCTTTCTCAATTCTCATAAGAAGCCTGGAGACAATTTGCTATGGAGCCAATTCTGGTAATTGAAACCTTAACCTGCCAAAAAAACTTTCTTTATTTACAAAACCAGATAAGCAAAGTATATTTCCCCAAAAAAGAAGAAAGAATCCAAAAAAGTTTTTGTAGAATAGTATAATATCAAATGAATGTGCCCAAAAATAATTAACTACATCCAGAAATATCTCATACACACAAAGCAAATAGTCTCCAAAGACAATTGTATCCATAAATGAGCACGATAAAAGACAATGCATCGAAACTTCTTCCGTCCAATTGCATTTCCATCAGAGAACTGTTCTATAAAATGATATCTCAGAACTGAGAAGAGGTAGGTGAAGCTAAACATGATATAGAATAGAATATTGGTGCTTGTGAAAACAAACGAGCTTCTCTTCCATAAAGGCCATTGCGCTATTGTAAATTCTAACAAACATAATTTGACCTCAATAGATTCTAAAAAAGATTCAATTATGTATAATGGAGTTCCTAGTAGGTACAAGTGATAAGCCATGTTCTAAGCTGCAATGAAATAGTCAAAATATTATACTTCCATCATAATTCATAAGTTATATTATCTCACTAAACATCCATTAAAAATAAAAGAAGCAAACCGAACTGGACCTCACTTGTCATTCCTTTTTATCAACAAAAGAAAACAGGTCCCGAGAAAAGGTCCACATCCTACACCACTCCCCCACCACCTAATAAGAGGGTGGCAAGAGAGAGCCACGACATCTCAAGTTCAAAGTTCAGGGGTGACCAAAAAAAAAAATACTAGGTGATTTCTTCCCATCTGCCTAAACCATGGGGCGGAGTTACCAGGTACCTTGGCCGGTGAGAAGTAGCAGGTACTTGATGGAATAGTGGAGGTGCGACAAGCGGGCCCAGACACCACGGTTATAAAAAAAAAAAAAAAAAAAAGATCTGTCTAATTCACAAGCTGGCCCAGACACCCTGGTATGGAGTAGAATTCCCCCAAATCACCACTGCCCTACATCATTCACAATCCTCAATAATTTTGCAGTTTATGGATCAAAACCTGCCTAATTCACAATGGCAACCAAGATTAAATTCACATTACATCCCAAACCGCACAACCTTAAAATTAAACTGATACTATAAAGCTATACTATACAATCAGAAACCAAATAAAAAACATAATTTCTATCAAGATAAATACCCATAGCTATCATAAAAAACAAATAGATGTCTATATATATTCACATGAAACAATATTAGCTCATATCAAATCAATCAATCAATCAACATACAGAATTGGTCTGCAAATTTGAACTTAGATCTATAAACTAGAATTACATACATATATGAAGACTGATTCAGAATACATTATATTAAAAAAAAAATTGAAAGAGGAAATTAAGGGTGAGAGATCAGGAACCTGGATAAGCGGAAAAAAGCGATTTGTGGATGAAAGGGAAAAGAGAAATGGGTTCGTCTCAAAATTCGACATTTAATGGAATATTCAGAGATCAGAAAATTTCTGTAGAATCTGTATTTATACGTAAAATGTCAATGTACGTTAGCTGAAAAAAGTTTCACGTGAAGAAAATTCTCAAGTATTTGAATTTTAAAAGGAAAAATTAAAAAAAGAGAACAAGTAGGAGTGAAAGCAACCTTTAAAGGCGGGACTTCGATCTATAAAGCTAGAAACACGGCTTGACCTTTTTTCCCTATGGAGTAATTAGTTTTGGGTCTGTCGAAATTAATTTCATTTGTTAATCAAAATATATATATATATATATATATATATATANCCCTACTAAATCACGGGCTGGGCTGGGCTGACCCGGCGGGCCAAGCCCATATTGACGGCTCTATCGGTATATATAATATATTAGATAAAAAATATTATTTCTAATATATTTCGGCAAAGTTACTTATAGATCAATTTGGGCTAAAAGTTGGCCCAACTTTAAATGGGTTGAGATGTGTTGGGTCAAAATGAGCTGAGTTCAATAAATGGGCGGGTCAATAACCAGCCCAACCTTGGGCGGGTTGAGCGGGTCATTTGAGCTTGGGCCAAATTTGATAGTCCTAGCTATTTTTAGGAAAATTACGCGACACATCAAACATTTACATTGTATTTATCATTTGTAGCTATACTTTCAACAAACTTACTATTCGTAGCTATATTTGAATTTTATTGAAAATCAATAAAATAAGAGATTAATTATTTTGAACTAAAATAAGAGAGCAATAAGCTCTCGTACCTCAGTTTGTTAGAGTGCTCGCTTAGTTAGTCGAAGGTCTTGAGTTCGACTGTCAACAAAAACATTTTATTTTTTTCCTGTATTTCTGTATTTTGCCTTAGTTGTATTCGTTGAGCGAACAAATACATTTTATTTTCCTGTATTTCTGTATTTCACCTTAGTTTATTTTTTGTGCAAACAAATACATTCGATACATGTTGTATCTATTGTATACACCCATGTATACAGTCGATACAAGTTGTATCCTTTGTATACACCTTTGTATTTCGCCTTGGTTATACAACTGATACATATTGTATTCATTAGATTGTGCGACCAAATACAGTTGATATACATTGTATTCGTTGCTTGAACGAATACAGTTGATACAGGTTGTATTCGTTGCGCGTATGAATACAAGTAATACAAGTTAGTAGCAATTAAATAGTAGCTACGGATAATAATTAAGCAAATTATAATTATCAGGCTCTAAACTGTAGTAATTATGAAAAATTCTCATGTTTTTATAGGAAGCTACTTAAAGTCTCCAAATACTCAAATATAACAAGTCTGAAACACTGCCGAAACTGTAACTAGAATCCCTAATCTTTTTCATCGACACTAATTCTGAATCTCAACATTCTTTTTTAGTTCCGACATATCTATATAGATGCCATATAATAGAAGTCGCGACAATGAAAACATACATACTTAATGTGTGTGTGTATGTTTAAATTTCTAACTATGTACAAGGAAAAATATATAAGTTGCCCCCAAATTTGTCAGGGAAAATCATTTACAGACCTTAATTTTACATGCGACCTCCTGTTGTTTCTTTACTTCTGTTTTCTTATTATCTTGTTGTTAGTACTGCATCTTTTTCGATCCATAATTTCTTCACTATTGTATTTTCTTTTTCACTATAGCCAAGATTTTGCTTTCTTTGAGCAGAGGTTCTATCGGAAACAACTTCCTACCTTCACAAGGCAGGGAGAAGGTCTGCATACACACTATCTGGTCCCCAAATTCCACTTGTGGGATTACATCGGACTTCTTGTTGCTGTAGTAGTAGTTTTACATGCGACCTCTTGCCCTCCTAATTTTGTTCAGAGTGTAACTTATACCCGCACTTACTGTAGGTCATACTGTGCCGGTTGATGGTCCTAAACCCTGCAGTGGATTCAGATAGATAGTCTCTATATATATTATCTTATTGTCTTCTCTTTTAATTCAATATGTCTCTAGAGTTCTGCATCACGTGTGGTGAGTGGTGACCACTCCAGAAGAGAAAAAACCAAATCTTGTATTGAAAATAAATTCAGTCTATTATGAAAGCAACTCTACTATAAAAGCTGTCTAGGCAATTAGCTAAAGTTTAAGAAGCTAAAAGCTGTCACGAGAATGACAGAAAACATATCTTATCGGCCGGTAGCCCGGTACCACTAATTTCTTTATAATACAAAATGCAACTTTCCTTAAAAAACAATGATTTTTAGCCTCTCCCCAAAATAATACTAGCTGGCAAATGTATATTTTTTATATTAATACAACGGTAAAGTGCGTGTCTTCATGTAACCTAATGGTCACGGATTCGAGTCGTGGAAGCTACTCTTAATGCTTGTATTATGGTAGGCTGACTACATCAACACCCTTTGGGATGCAGCCCTTCGGCAGACTTTGAGTGATTGTGGGATGTTTTGTGCACTAGGATATCATATTAATGTACAATACACACACTTACACACACACATATATATATATATATATATATATATATATATATATATATTATCAACTATTATTTTGTAGTGACCAAAAATTATACCTTTTTATTATTTTTTTCTTTTCTTTTCTTTTAGGGGATTACTAAACGAGGAATATGATTTTTTTTTTTTTCATTTTGTGTGGTTAGGTTCAAGTATGAGAATCAGTTTATTTAATTTTTTATTTAAATCGGAAATTAGAATATCTAAATTTTAGATTGCAAAGCACCTTACTGCAATCCTCCTTTAGTGTTTACTAGTCCTTACGCGCATTATGTGTGGGCCCTGTCTCATCGAGTAATTTAAACAAAAAAATTATCTTATAAATTACTCGATGAGAAAGGGCCTACACGTAATATATATATATATATATATATATATATATATATATATATATATATATAAAACAATAAAAGAAGAAGAAGAGTATTACAGAGAAAAATATAAAGAGAATTCTTATTGGTTTGGAATGAATTACAATGGAATAGATTCCCTCTATTTATAGAGAGAGAGTGACTTAGCCACCAAGTAACAAACCATAGAATCTCTTTAAAATATAGGCATTCACCTTAAATACAGTTCTATTTATAACACTCCCTCTGGAATGTCTAATCAACAAATAATGTGCCTCGTTAAAACCTTAACTAAACTAAAATCCAATGGAAAAAAAATTCTAGAGAAGGAAAAAGAGTACACATGTTTAGAAATACGCCTTTTAGTTGCCTCATTAAAAACCTTGCAAGGAAAACCCAGTGGGACAAAATCTTGTAAGGGAAAAAGAGTGCAACGCGTATTAACTTCCCCTGATGAGAGCACCAATTCACATCCTTGAGCCTCTGCATCCCAATCTTGTACACTAGCTTCTTGAAGGTTGATATCGGTAGAGATTTGGTAAACAAATCACCCATATTATCACTTGAACGAATATGTTGCACCTTGAAATCATCATTCTTGCATATATGTAATCTCTTCATATAATATTGTGGAATGACCTTTTCAATATCTCCATAGAGATTCTTGCTATCATATTTTCATGCTTATAGTTATAGCAAGATACATAATTGCACAAATAGCACTTAGGATATGGTACTTCAGGATCAAGAATTGTATATGCTTTAAGCGATTTAAATCCTTCAATGTTTGTCATATAAGTCATATAATAGACTTAGGTTAGATGCATATCAAGTTTTCATGTCATGCTAGACAAACAAGATATCGAAAACTGATTGCATATACCATTGACTTTATACTTTCAAGTATTTGAACTACATGTCTAAAACTACATGTCTTTCATATGAAACCAATTCTATTTGAATTGTTTCTCTTCCACTTGGTCAATATTTTTGCATATGTATTCGACAGACTTAAGTTCCTCATCTATACTTAGCGCTATCATAGATGTCGTTGAGAACATTTTATATCAGTTCCAACCTCTTTTTTTCATAAAGACATAATATAGAGATCTTTTTATTTATATTTTCAGGTACCTGAATCTCTCCTGAGATTTTATGAAGTGTTATGTCATGTGATCTTCTAGATCACTTGCCTCCTTTATTATGATCATTTTGATCATTTGCTCATCTTCTTTATCAAGAAATTTATTTGAAATCGATTTGTCTATGCGCTGTAAACGTATCATATACTTTGTCCTTCTAGGACTTAATAGGAGCATTTGCAATGAGAATATAATTACTTTCTTTGGGTCAGCAAATGCGTCTGGCATCCTTTGCAATTTATTGAAAATGAATTATCCTTTTATGAACTTCAAGTTCATATTATTTTATTCGAGAATCTAGATGTACAAATGATAATTCATTTCTGTCACAACCCGAAATTTCCACCGCCGGGACGTGATGGCGCCTATCATTTCACTTGCTAGGCAAGACAATGTTAGAAAATTATCAAGTCAAACCTTATTCAATTCAATAATTAACAGTAAATAAGCTAAAGTGAATAGAACGAGTGCAGAATAATATAATAACTTCATCATTTACTACTACCCGGGTCTGGTGTCACCAATTCACGAACATTCTAGGATTTACTACAAGTAAAAGTCTAAAAGAAATACAACTGTTTGAACGAAATAAACAGTAAAACAGAAGAGATGGACGGGGACTTCAAGGTATGTGAACGCCGACAGATCTACCTTGAGTCTCCGGTGGTCCGGTCCAAGCTGCTATGCCTCTCGATCAACTGGGACCAATACCAAAATCTTCACAGGAAGTGCAGAGTGCAGCATCAGTACAACCGACCCCATGTACTGATAAGTGTCAAGCCTAACCTCGGCGAAGTAGTGACGAGGCTAAGACAAGACACCCACAAATGAACCTGTGCAATTTAACAATATATGTACGAAGATAACAGTAAACAAAAGTTAGACAAGTAATATCGGGAGGGGGACATGTTGAGGGGATCACAAGATAAAGAATCGCAACAGTAATAAGAACTTGATAAACCAATATACCTTAAACAGATAGAAACAAGTAAACACAGTAAAGGAAAATACACGACACCACCCTTCGTGCTTTTACTCTCAACCTCACCATATGAATCAATATAAATGGCACGGCATCACCCTTCGTGCATTAACCCTCTCATAACATGGCACGACATCACCCTTCGTGC